TTCTTAAGTATTCACTGATGAGGTCTCCAAAGGTTTCTTTTGCAACCTGAAATCAATGCTGGATATACGGGACACAATCTAGGGAAATGTAGGGGAGATCTCTACATATCAGTGCAATTGGCAAGAAGCATATTCACACTTCAGTGCTTATTTAGCATTGCTTATTTCAGCAGTGTTTACATGCCTGGTACTTAATCTAAGAACCTGTACAACACACTGAAAAGTGTTGGAACTAGGTGGGTGTCTTTGATTCAGTTCCCTTTCTGTAAGATGAGAATGAAGCTGCCTTATACTGAATCAGACCAATTGGTCCATCAAGGGTCAGTATTGCCTACTCAGACTGGCAGCAGCTCTGCAGGGTCTTTCACATCACCTTCTAACTGATCCTTTTAACTGGAGATGTCAGGGATTGAACCTGGGATCTTCTGCATGCTAGGCAGTTGCTTTACCACTGAACCATGTCCTCTCCCTGAGAAAAGTTAGCCAATATCAGCTGCATGAATTATAAAATGCTTCTTATACTTAAAATGCAAAATTTTCCTTTCAGTAAGTAAAGTCTTTCTGTTCCTCTGGAAATTAATTCTCTGGAAACTAATTTGTTAAATATAATTTTAGTGTTTTTAAAAACATCTATCAATTGCTGTATGGCTAAAACTAGTGAAGCAGGGACTTGGGAAGATCCTGCTAGCTTAATATATATTTAAAAGAAACTCACCCAGAACATAGCTTGACACTAAGACTGTATAAACTGGTTTGATAAAACCCTGCTTGGTTGCAGTGTCTGAATACAGATGTTTCAGCACAGTGAGATTTGTAGCTGTTTTGTTCATGGTAATTATGGTTTGTTGTGATCAGGGTTGCTTGGTCATTATGGCCACCAGAACTTTTTCTGATCAGCTGATGGCCTGCCTCACCACCTGGGCCATGTAAGCCCAGTGGTGAGATGGATGGCACCTGGCTTAAATGATGGTTTAATCCTTGTTTAGAATTCAGGTCATTAGAAAAGAAATAACCATGACTTCAGACATAGGATTGTCTATATTAAACGTGGTTTAAAATTCATGTTTCAGGGAAAGTAATATGCCCCTATTTGTTAAGGCGCCAAAATTCAGACAGCCTAACAAACTGGAATGAAATGGAAGACTCCCCTGACAAATCAGGGAAGAGATGGTGAAAATGGTGGAAATACAAGAACTGTTGATAAGAAGCCCATTCACTTCATGAACAAATTGTGGTTTAATCATGATGTACTAAATGCAGCCTAAACATGCTAGAGATCTAATTGCAAAGAATGTGATTGACCCTGATTCATTCAGTGCTGGTAGGACTTCAACACAGTTCTTATTTTGGTCATTGTTGGGCCTCTAGAACAACATCACTGGAGAACTATAGGGTGCTTCCGTTCTCTGGTGTACCACTCATTTGTAGCCAACTTTGTGTTATGACAATAAATAAATCCTGAGGAGAGATGGAGTGAGTACTACGCAATTAGGAGTCAAACTTAGAATGAGAAGAAGTCTAAAATACCATATACAATTGTATTGCAATGAAGAAGCAGAATGAGAATCAGTTCTAAATGTAATATGTTGTGTATAAATGCATGTAAAGTAGTGGGTTTTGAAGAGAAACATTTTAGATTAAATGTTTGCCAAAAGTAATAGCAAGTATTTAGGCATGGCAAAAACATGCAGTATTGAGTATGCAGCACTGGTGAAATTAATAATACAGTTGAAAAACAGATTTGAAATGTAAAATGTTGAATATAAATGTATCCCAACAGAAGTAAGTTTTATAGTATTTTAGAAACAGTAACCCCAAAACCTTTCCGTATAATAAAAGGGGGTGTTGGGGAGAAATATTTTTGATTTCATATATTTTGTTATATATAATCACCTTTTGATATATATAATTATGATATGTAATCATTTTTTTATTTTCTGTATTTTCTTTTTATTATCTGTTTTTTAAAATGAATGAATGAATCTTGACTGTTTGAAACTTGAACAGTTTCAGCAGTGTATGATGTAACATTAAACTTCAGAGGAAATAAGAACCCATCCTTATTAGGAATCCTTTATGGGAAGAAGTATGAAGCTGATATGTGTGTCAGGTAAGCAAGTTGTATTGGGGATGAGATGCATGCCATACATTTGGGTATTGTCACTGTAACCAAAATGGTGGTGAAGCTTCCATGATTACGTAGGTTCTTTTCACAAAGATGTGAGGTCCTTTAGCTCTTTGTGCTACTTTTAGGAGAATCTAATTTTGCATTTAGTATCTGAGCATAAGGATAGTCATAGGCAATGTGACACTGCGTGAATCCTTTCAGAAAGAATACTTGCTCTGGCTGCTGCTTCAGCTGGGTTCCTTATAGGCTTTAAAGTGTCCGTGTGGTCCCCAAGAGTGCTTACATAAAGTTCCATACATTTTAATGGCTGCCTCTTATATATTTGATTTTGAAAACAGAAAAGTATAGTCCAATTTAGTTTCATGCTGATTATCAGAGGGACTTGGGGAACATACCTTTCTAAAGACTCTGAATTTCTGGGGTCCGGTTGCCTGGGCTTTTTTGGTTAGGTCTACTGAACAGCAAGATAGATTGGTGCTTGAACAGCTCAAAGTTTCTAAAAACTAAAAAGTTTTCAAAAAACTAATTCCGAATAGACTGATTTCACTGCAGGACTGGCTGAAATTTTCCTACCCATGGACAAAGCGGGAGTAGCCAAGCTCTTAAGAGTGAGGGCTTATACAACTTTAGTTCTGTCTGTCTCATTCCCTAGCCACAGTACTCTTACTATCAAGAACAACATCAGGACTGTTCTCTCTGATAGAGGGTTTTGTCTCTTTCCCCGCTGGCCTTGCAGGTCCACCGCCGGGCCCCTGATGTTAGGAGGTGTGGCATATGCTAATGAGTTCCCCTAGCTCTTTTTCTACAAAATGACCTCTGAGTCCACAAGGAGAAAATTCATGGTAATGATATTGAAAAGATCCCCTATGTTAAATACTTAAAGGTCTGGTTTGACCAAAGATTAACTTGGTCAGTTCAAGCTGCTCATGTTAAAAGATTACCTACAGTGGCATCAAATATTATCTGGTGTTTCTTTTATTCAACTGGGACTCAGTATATCCCAGCTGCCATCAAACTGTTTAATGTCAAGGTTGCCGCACAAAGTTTATATGGGGCTGGTATCTGGATTGATAAAATAAGGGAGTTCTTCAATTCTTCTTGAATTTCTGCGTTCCACCTGCAGACTTCCAAATTGTGTAGCGGGGGTAGTCCTCTGAGCTGAATTGGGACAACCATCTCTTGAAGCTTGGGTTTGGTTGAAGGCTTTTCCCAATAATAATAATAATAATAATAATAATAATAATAATAATAATAATAATAATAATTTCAATTTATTAATCGCTTTCCCCAGTGGGCTCAAAGCGATTTACAGTTACACATTATAGACAGGGGACTAACAATGTTCATAGAGGATAGGGAAGACAACATATATTCATTTATTTGCACACGCCATCACTGCACGCTGTAAATGTCTTCTGACTTGGCTCAGTCATTTTCCGAACGGCTGCTTTGTCGACCAGGCTTCAGGAGTTAAAGTTAAAATTATACACTTAAAGTTAAAATTATACACTCCGACATCCAAGAGGGTTACCGTGGCTTAGTCAGAGAGGACTCTTATGTTTCCCACTGGGATAAACCTGTCGAGCAATGACTGCAGCTCCTCAGTCTTTCCTTGGACTCCCTTTATTCAGTTATGAGACAGGAAGCCATAAGAATGATTAAGAAACATCTATTTAAGTACGATCATAATGGTACAATCTGTAGAGCATGATGTGTTTGTTCTACTCAATTGGTATTCTTCCACCTGGAGAGCTCCCCATTTACCATTCATATTTTACTCTTCTTTGCTATCGGTGTGCCTTTATGTTGGCGTGCCTTAATGCCCAGCCATCTAGAGTTTTGCAGTGGGGATATCTTAAGATACCATACTTTGATAGAGTATGCAACTTTGGTGCAGGTAGTGTAGACACCCTGTATCATGTAACTTTTTAATGCAATCATTTTTTGAGCCTAGAAATCTTTTAATTCTTCCTTTGCTCCAAGATATAGATCATATGGAGACATCATCTCTTTTATTGGAAGATAATAGCAGACCTGTCACTCTTTTAGCTGTGAAATTTTATGCATCTGTGATAGATTTTCACAGCTGTTCAAATCTAGCCTTTTCTAAATATTAGTAATCTGCTTAAAATGAATAAGTTAAGAAAAAGTATGAGGTAGAGAGACTGATACATACATTTGTTACTTCTCAGTATATAAGAACAACAGGAGTTTCTTCCATAATGTCTAGCCAATTTAAGTGCAATTGTTGGAGTTAAGTCATCTAAGATTTGACTGTATTTGTTTGGATCTAAGAGAAGAAACCAGATGAACTCAGTTCCCCCCACAATCCACTGTATTGTTTGTACAAAACAAAAACAAACATCTAGAATTTTATTTTCCTGACTGGCTGTAAAGAGAACAATATATCTGCTTAATCTAAATGTTCAGGCTGTGACTGCTCTCTAGTGGCAGATTCATTGCTGTGAAGGACAATGCAGGAATTTCATTGATACATTTGTTAAACTGTTATCGAGAGTTCAGTATAGCTACTTAAAATAGTTAAGAATAGTTAGGGGTTAATGCTGTCCAGCAAAGAGGACACTAAGTAGTTTCAGCCATCAAAGTGTACCTTATAGAATGGATATATGAGCCACTTGGGTCAACTTCAGCTGTTGTTTGCAAGCCTTCTGTCTAAGCAAGACACTCTGGAGAATTAGGCTCAAATCTGCAAAGTCTTTGGGAACAATTCTACTTAATTATGAATAAGTGAGCTTTTTGCAGGGTTGCTGTGGCAAACAGAATTATATAGAGGTTCTTTATATCATTTGGCAGCTCTAGTTCAAGCTGCCATCATAAGAATGGGAGTTGGATGGGTGCAAGAAGTTCTTAATAGGTTGTGCCTCAGTTCTCTAAAAACCATTGAGATTTTCCCCTTAGAGCTTGGTCACTAGTGCTTTGCTACTTCTGTTCTTTTAGGGCTGCTCAGTCTCATTAGTGTCATAGATGTCGTAGTACTTTCATGTTTTGATGAATGATTCTAGCAGCACAAGAGACCAACTGAGTGCCATGTATGATGAAGCACACACTTTGAGGCTAGAAAGTAGATGAGGAAATACATGGAAGATAGCTTTATTGGCATTGGGGCTAGAGAACAGAGTAGGCGGAATGATGAAATTTTGGGCAGTTGCCAAAAGTTCAACCAATGTGGCTTCACTGCAAAGTCAAAAATGCGAAGTTCAAAAAGAGTTCCAGCTTTCTCCTTCAGCATGTTGAATCTGATATCAGACATATATGGGGAAGGCATTTTGCATATGCACAAAGACAGTATCTATTAATACATGACAACGTGGCACTGAAAAGTGGTAACAATCTTAAGCACTGCTGGGTAGACTGATTGTATTTGGCCCCAAACACTGTCTTTCAGAGTTATACAGGCACACCTGTCCATTTTTCATGCCTTTTCTTCTTAAATGCATGTTTTGGGAAGTGAAAAGAGAAGAGATGACTGAATTCCAACAATTGCCACTTGTCTGGTTATTATTTATATTAAGAGTTTAGGGTTCTGGAGTGTGCTAGTTCCTGATGTATCCTGTGTAGAACAGCTTGAATGTACATATTATATTTCTATTCTAATACAATCTCTTTGAACACAAACTAGGAGGTTTCCTCTTGAAGATATCCCTTTGGATGAGAAGGAAGCAGCAAACTGGCTTCATAAACTTTACCAGGAAAAGGTGAATAGTTTGTCTGCTTTAAAAATCTTACAGAATAACATATTAAGGGAATGAATTGTCAACAGAAAACAGTATTTCTAAGCACAAGCAATTTTAAAAAAAATGATAATTGAGTGATGAGTATGCTTCCCACTTGGAAGGCAGGTTTTTTAAAATCAATGTATTTTAAAAATGGGGTTGTCTAAATTTCCTATAACAATCCATACAATCTTGTGTAATGTCATCATTCTTTATAAAGAGCAGTGTGTCTTAGGAAAGAGGCCAAAATTGATTTTGGAACAATCATATCACTTGTTTTACAACACTGATTCTTAAGAGGGGTTACAGGGCTTCTCCAGGGGCCATGCACATATGGGGGGGGAGGGCAAATGGGGACATTCAGGATTTTTGGCAGTCTCTTCTTGCTAGTTACAGTGGCTTCCAACAGCAAACAAAGGAGAGTTTTCCATACACTAAGAATCAGTTCCCATAACCTAGACTTCTCCCACAGGTCCTTTAAAAAAGGTGTCACACAGCAAATCAAAATCAAGCCTACCCTGAAGAAGCTGGTGGATGGCTATCAGGCCTTAAGGTCTAACTGAGTATATGCTTGAGACCTGTGTATTGTATGTATGATCACAAACTGACCTATATGAATAATGTTGCCTTGCTTGGCATAGTTTATCCCCATTGGAGGGCCAAGCAAGGCGCAACATTATTTATGTAGGTCAGTTTATGATATACACGTACAATACACAGATCTCAGGCGTATGCTCAACAAGATCTCAGGCATACACTCAGAGATACACTCAAGGAAGGTGTGTGGCTGTCCCTCTATCTCCCGCCTCTCCCCTCCCCCCCTTCTCTTCCCCTAGTAAAGGTAAAGGTTCCCTTGCTCGAAAGCCAGTCGAGTCCGACTCTAGGGTTGCGGTGCTCATCTCCGTTTCAAAGCCGAAGAGCCAGCGCTGTCCGAAGACGTTTCCGTGGTCATGTGGCCGGCATGACTAGACACCAAGGCGCACGGAACGCTGTTACCTTCCCACTGAAGTGGTACCTATTTATCTACTTGCAATTTCTTGCTTTCGAACTGCTAGGTTGGCAGGAGCTGGAACTAGAGACGGGAGCTCACTCCGTCATGCGGCAACCCGGGTCTCGAACTGCTGAACTACCGACCTTCCACAGCCTGCAGTTCAGCATCTTAACCACTTGAGCCACCGCAGCTCTACTGCCTACTGCCTTCCCCTACTGCCCCACAAAATTTCCCCATACCCCACAAACCCAAAATTCCTGGCTGTGGGGCTGTTGCTAATGTAGGTTTTCCTGGACTGTCCCCTCACATGCTGCAGTCCAGCTACAATCTTGGGCAGGGAGGTAAATGCCATTATAATCAACAGAACTGATTTCTTATGGAACTTGTTTAGGAATAGATTAAAAGATTTGAGGCTTCTGTATTAATCCACCAGCAACTCTTATCTGTAAACTGTGCTTTCCCTCCTCGTTGGTGTAAGATTCATATACCAGGGCAAACAGGCATCCCTACTGGCTTCTGTGTACACATCACATCAGTGGAAACTGAAATAGCAGGAACTAATTACTGTTGTGAATTGTATATAGCTCTTAAGCCAATGGGGAAATACTTTGATTAAAGCACAACTGTTTTTGGCCTGATCTCCTCCATTGCAGCTTCTCAGGGGAACAATAAGCCTTAGGCTAAAGGTGGATTCTCATGGTAACTGCACCATCATGCAGGAGGCAAATGATGTCAGTAAGCTATGAAAAGCAACACTTTCTTAGTATCCATGTATTGTAGCTATTCATGGTGTGCTGCTCAGACATAAAGTTTCATGAGTCCAAAGCCCCCAAATTTCGTTTCACCTGAGTCCAGGTCCCTCCAGAGTCCAGGTGGATATAACATAAGCTTGTTTTGGCCTGTTTTGCCACAAGTCCAACCCAATGCCCCTGCTCCTCCAACTTACCAAAGTGAGATTTGTGGTGGGGAGGGTACAAGGCAGCTATACACACCACAGACCTGGATGTGCTGCAAGCAAGGGCAGCAGCATCACTTGAAATTGAGAGGCGCAGCGTGCAGCAGCTTCCAGATCCAAAGTCTGAGCCCTGTGGCTGCTGTGAGCCCTTTTCTCTGTCATACCTTGGCAAGTTTTTGAAAAGGGGTGGGGTGGTTTGGAGAGAGTTTGCAGTGGTGATGACTGGCAGAGGAGCATTGTGGGCCCCATTGGAACCATGACAGAACCTAGTTTAGAATGGATCTGAATTAAAATGACTTTTTTCAAACACCCATAAGCTTTCTTCAAAATAAGTATATTTTAACTGTGCCCATTCTGATTTGGGCTGGAAGAGATTATTATGTATCATTAATCATAACTGTCAGTGAAGGCCAGTTGTAAATTCTCCAGCTACCAGGAGAATACACTCTGGAGGGTGAGTTTTTGTGTTCTGCTTAAGAGGAATACATTCCATAGGGTAGATTAATAGTGATTTAGGAATATTAAGAGAAGCCTGAATTTACATGAGTAATGTCATATGTGAAGTCATTCTAAGATCACATTCAGTATTCCAAGAAACAACATACACTTTTTGTTATTCATCCACTGGACCACATGTTTCTTTGCTTTGATTGCTCTGATGTTGTTGGCATCCTGTCACTGAAATATCCCCAAATAGTATAAGATCTGCAAATGCAAAAGAAGAGAGCACAAACAGTGAATGAGGAAGGGATTGAGGCACTGCAGAAAGAAATGTAGCAGTGGCTGTTGTTAAAATCATGATTCAATAAAAAGTACAAATCTCTCTCATAGCAACTATTACTACTTTGTCACAGAGGCAGGCCTATGTAACAGTATCTATACACTTTGAAATCTGTAAAATCTTTTGAGTATTAAGTTACTTGAGCACAGTCCATTGATTTCTTTACACCTTTTCTTCCTTTCTCTCTGCAAGGATGCTTTACAAGAGAAGTATAATCAAGAAGGTATATTTCCTGGGCAGCAATTCAAACCTCCCAGAAGACCTTGGACTCTCCTAAACTTTCTTTTCTGGGCCACAATTCTCCTGTCTCCTCTTTTCAAATTTGTTTTTGGAATTTTTGCAAGTGGATCACCTCTCCTAATTCTTGCATTCCTGGGCTTTGTTGGAGCAGGTAACAAAACTGACAAAGAAAAAAAAAACATTCTGAGCTGAAGTGTGTGTGTGTGCGTGTATAAGAGAGGCGGCAGCATCCTGCAGTGCAGTCAGACACCAGTGTTACTCACCAACATGAAGGTTGCTCAGCTTACATGCAGTTCTTATTTATTTATTTATTGTTTGGTTTCTCTGGATTATGGTGGTTGATAGATCTAATAGTTAGGAGTTTGAGAAACCTACTCACAGTCTGAATGGACAGCCATGTTAATCCGTTAAAGAGTCAGAGCTCACTTCATCAGATGCACATCTTTATTCATTCATTCATGAGATTTTTTTTTTTAATCCTGCTGTTTCCCACAAGCGGGCTCAGGGCGGGGTACAATGCACCGCAAACACACAAAGGCAATTTATGTATTTTAAGTTAAAGTTAAAACCCCAACTGAACCTACATGATGGCAAGATGGTAAAGTCTAGACCTCACAGATATAACTGAGTATAACTCGGGAAGGGCCATCAAGATAATACTTGGGACCGGCCCCCCAACCTGTGATACAAATTGATGTAACAAACAGTGTAGGCTAGTTGGAGGGGGGCTGGTTAAAGAAAGGGAGACCAAATATAGCAAGGCATTCATCTGAGTGAGCTCTGACTCATGAAAGCTCATGCTGGATTAATTTGGGTAGTATTTCAGGTCCCACTGCCTGCCTGTTCTAGTTCACTCACTGTCTTCTTTATCATGTAGATTTTTCTTTCCCAGTCTCCAGCTATCAAGTGACTACTATGGCATCTTCCCTGGTCAAATCCAATACTTCAGCTACAGCATCATACATATCTCTTAAGGCAGTTTTCTCTTAGAATCATGGGATGGCCTTGTGGTTAGGGTTACCAACCTCTGGGTGGTGGCTGGAGATCTGCTGGAATTACAGCTGAGCTCTAGGTGGCAGAAATCAGTTTACCTGGAGAAAATGGCTACTTTAGAAGGTGGACTCTGTGGCACTTATACCCCATTGAAGTCCTCTTCCCAATCCTACCTCCCACAGGCTCCTCCTCCCAGATCTCCAGGTATTTCCCAACCTAGATCTGGCAACCCTACTTGTGATGTTCATCTTTCATATGGCAATCCAAGACAACATTAAGCAAGTTTGTGGCTTTAATTAATGAACCAACAACAAAATGAATCACTCATTTGCATCATTGAAACATTAGCCTTTTGGACAATCATTTTGTTTTTATTTTCTCTAGAGGGATAAAATCCCCTTTTTTGAATTCACTGTGGTGTTTTCTATACCACAGATAACTGCATTGCTGTTTATGAGCTGTTTGTGAGGGCTGGGGACTGGGCTGAAGTGATCAGCACAGCTTTTGCTCATTTTCTTCCTCTACTGTACTCTCAGTCTGTGAGCAGCATTGCTATTTACAAATCCCACTGGGAAAACAATAGGAATGCAAAGATGTGCTGGAAAAATGCACAAAACGGGCAAAAAAAGGTTTGGGCTTGGCAGGAGAAAGGAAAGAGACATTCATTCCTATTAACGGAGCTTGCTTTTGAGCAATTTCATGGTTCAGCGGAATATTCAGTGTTATTTACAGACATTTACGGTTGGTGATAATGTCCAAAGTTCTGATTAGACCCATAGTAAGGGCATTAGAGAGCACTTCAATCATTGGATGCTTCTGGACCTATGACCTGTCAGAGTCCTCTGAGATGTTTGATCACTGCATTGTATTATCTTTAGGATGCTGTCATGACACCTATGGCCCTGTTTGCTGCCCTGAGCCTGCCTCGGTGGGGAGGGCGGGGTATAAATCAAATAAATAAATAAATAAATACGAACCCAAAGTGGCTTGCAATGTACAGAACACGCAAAAGACCATCAAATTCCACAGATACATAAATAAGCTAATTTTACAGTTATTACTTGCCATTAACAAGTTCATAAGGCAGAGCAGGTGGCAACTACTCTGCCCTTGATGAAGCAGACTTCCCCCTAGCAGACAGGCACTCACTTCCTTCCCTCCTTCTAGAGGGAGATGGAGGAGAAGGGCGGAGCAAGTGGAAACGGCTCTGTCCTTGAGGAAACAGACTCCCCCCAAGCAGGCAGACACTCTCTTCCCTGTATGTGTGCATGTAGAAGCTGAAAGTACAGAATTGAGTATCCTGACAGATTCAGCAGAAGTGCTTCCACTCACTATTCAACCCAATATACATGTATGTGCTTGTGCAGATTTTCTGTGCTTTTGATTTATATTGTACCATTGATAAATTGTAGAATAACGCCTGAAATAACTGCGTGATCCTTCTTTTTTCTATTTTAAAGCTTCCTTTGGAGTTCGTAGACTGATAGGAGTTACAGAAATAGAAAAAGGCTCCAGCTATGGCAACCAAGAATTCAAGAAAAAGAAATAATTTTACAGTTGCAGTTCTGAACACATAACAAGACTATGGTATCAAATTAACTTCACTGAAAGAAAGACACTTAGAAAACCTATCTTCTTTTCTTATTAACTGATAACTAATAATACTTGAGCCAAGACTGAAGAAAATGGAAGATTCAAGAGAAGAGGAAACAGTTGACTACTTACCTGCCTAAGGATAACTGTATTCATGGTTTGGGGGAGAAAATGAGCTAAAAAACAACTCCTTTTGCTTTGTGAGGGGGTGGGAGGAGGGAACTAATGGGTGGAACTACATACACCTTCAGGTAACTGGTTTGTCCTTTGAGAGTGCAACATTTGCTTTGCAAGAAGAGCCACTGAATTTCTTCTTGCTAAAACCATTATTTCCCAGTTCTTAGTGTCCTTTTTTAAATGTATACACTACAGCAAAACAATATCCAGTTAATTTACAGCTGTTCCTTAGGGAGGAAGCCAACTTGAAAACTCTGTAGAATTTTTAGGTAATATCTATTAACTTCCAAAAGAAAATGGATAATGAAATTCTCTGGGCCAAGTCCTTCACTAATAAGCACATTCTTTAAGCCAGACTTGACTAGTATGAATATAGTTTCAACTGTTTTTCACCCCCTTCATCCTGTGTGTCCCAGTAAAAAAATGGAACATTCTTGGGTTCAGTTTCCAACATATATCTTGGACTGTTTTTAAAAGTTATACCATAGCATTTGAATTTATGTGACCTGAACTATTCAGCCCCTGGCCTTGATATTTCTTCCAAAGATCTACTCTGCTCAGCTTCCTGCATGGCTTATGATGAAAATAGCCTCAACCAGCACTGGGATAGGAAAAATACCTTGTTTTTGAAAATAATAAAAGAAATATCTATATATGAAATAGTACACCTTGAGTACTATACTTCCAGGGCTGCAATCTTCAACATGGTTACCTGAAAGAATTTTCATCTGAAATCCAGTAGATTTTCAGGTAAATGTGTGAAGGTTTGAAATGTCATTTACCTACTTAGCACAACATACGAACACTCAATTCAAGAGCCACTTCAGTGCTTTCTTAAGTCTTTAATATCTAAACTTCTGATAGTTCAGATTTTTGTGTACTGTGCTACAAATTAGTGAGATCAGTGTGGCTCCTGTCATCTGACTCAAAGCATACTTACAGGAGCTGCATATGAGCAGATTGCTGTTTTGTTTGTTTTAAAGGGAGCTGTTTATAAGTATGTGGCAGTGGTACGTACCTCCTTCCAGTACAGGAATAAACTTCTGCCCTCAGCTCCAAACCAGAAAAATCTGTGAACTCTGGGAATAGAATTCAAAGCTGAACTAGCTATGCTTTTCCTTAAGATATGATATTAACGCACACTTTCTTACTGAAGATTTTAATTGTATAAAATCACTGATTTCCTTTCTCTCGTACACCCAAGAGTAAATGCATACTGTTTTACTTTACCTAATACATGTTGCATTTTTATACCTGTTGGAGCTCATTTAAGAGTTTTCAAAATATGCTTGTTTGCTTGTTACTACAAATATTGGAAACATTATTTGTGGGGATGGCTTATCTTTGTTTTCTCATGTACCTGATTGCTTAGGGATTTCTGAATGAAAGGTTTTTGAAGTTGTCTCATGGGCAGTGGTTGAAATAACTAATGGGCATGGGAGAGAATGGTATGTTGAAAACCAGTTCGTGCAGCTGGCTTGTCACTTCTGCTCTCACCGTTCCTATTGCTGAAGAGAGAGGCTAGATTTCCAACTGAGCAGGTGCTTGATCCTTCAGTAGGGGGGAAATGCGGCGGCAGAAGCTCTGTCTGCATGCAGATCTATCCACATGTATTATTAATTTTCAAAATACTTTTGTTTGCTACTTGCCACTTTGAAGTCTGGAAAAATGTATACTTTGAATCACAGCCCATAGTGTCCATCTGTTTTTGTTGCACCCTTCTCCCACCCAAGACTGCACTGTCAGTCCCAGAATAGGCAAACTGTGCTGCCTGAGAGGCGATAAAATCTACCTGTACTCTAAGGATGGACAGCTGTTATTAACTTCATTAGAAGTTGAAAATGTACTTCTTTAAGGATGGGCAAATTCCAGCCATGACTGTGTTTTATAACTCAGTGGATATTTTCTGCTTTTTGTTTTGTTTTTAAACCAAGCTACCCAGCTGAACAAATAAGCCTCTACTTTTCTTTGATTTCTAACCAGAGGACAAGCAGACTTACTTTAAAAAAATACTTACTAAATAACTCTTGTATGTTGGAAAGGGGTTTTTTTTGTTTAAAAAAAAGACGCTGTATAATTGCTTTCTGACGATGATGTTGAATATGTGTTAATTGCACTCAGTATCAAAAACAAAGCAGGGTTTGTAAAGAAGGAAGACCCTTAGCTATGTGTACAATTTTATGTGAACAATGCATTTATTAGTGGTGGATGGAGCGAGAAATGTTAACAATTTAGTGGGGCAGGGTTGGTGGTGTTCAAACAGGAAGAGGCTGCAAAAAAGAAAAGACAAGAGCATATAAAATCTTTTTAATGGGTATCCAGTCTCCACTCTGTACAGAACAACTCCTGTTTAAAGCTAAGGGGAGTAATGCCATGTACACTTTGGGGAGAAAAAGCAGATTAATTTCCTCTGTTTTATTTTCATATCATGAAAAATCATTTTGCTTTGAACGCATAGTAAAGATACACGTTTAATTTGTTTGCAATTCTAGAAAGACATATCAATTTTGAAAACTGAAGTGTACAGTATTGCACAATATAGTACATGACAGCTCATCTTTTTGGCTTGAACTTTGGTTTGTCTCTTCAAATAGTTTTTTTAAATAAATATGCAGAATGTGTATGAAAGAATATTATTGGGAATAGCAGTAAGTGTGTCTCATAAAGAATATCAAGTGGTTTGGACTGAAACAGTAAGCATAGATTTTATACCTTACACTATTTTCTTCTGGTTTAATAGAACATAGCTTGTATATTTGACTACCAAGCCCTTTGAGAGCAATAATAAACAAATATATCATGAGCTTTCTTTTTATTGTTGTTTTCATTATTCAATTTTAATCATCATTAGAGCATGACCATGTATAATCTTTCTCTTTATTTTAGGTGCACCAAGGGCTTGGGTGTGCCCAGCAGAATTGATTATAGCAGCTTCCCCCCACACACACTGTTTTCAAACTTTCCTCAATTTCAAAAGAGGGCTGCAATGTGGCATTGGGAAGGATAGGGAGAAGAGCTGCTGGTCAAAAAATGCTTTCAATCTCTCTCTTTCGCCTTCTCCCCTCCTTGGGTCTACCAAACTAGTTGTGCAAGCCCTTGGATCCAAAGCCATTGACTGCAAGTTACCCTGTCATTAGGTGCACTTAGTGTGCTGCCCTTTTTATGGGCCTGCTGCATTGTGACCATTACTTTAATTAGTGTGGCAGGCTTTCATCCAGCAACATAACCGTTCTCATAAAACATTCTGAATAGATCTCATAGTCATAACTAAAAATCATGTTATATCTTACTGAGAGAACACACAATACAATAAAAACTAATAGAATAAAATTAGTAGTAGAGTACAAATAAGATGATAAAAAAAGTTGTGGCACAGAATTGGCAGTAGTACTAACAATTATATGCCATCAAGTAACAACTGACTTGTGGTGCCCCCAGGACAGTGGGGTTTTCAAGGAAGAGATGAGCAGGAGTGATTTGCCATTGCTTTCCTCAGCATAGCTTCAGTCTTCCTTGGTGGTCTCCAATCCAAGTACTAACCATGTCCAACCCTGCTAGGTTCCAAGCTGTGATGAGAGAGGACTACACTGGGCTGGCTTTCAGGCTGCTTGGTAGTACTAGCCCTACCCCCCTGGAAAAGGTACTAACACTCTCCCCCTTGATGAGACGCTTCCTTAGACTCTGGGTTCCCTGGAAAGAAACTGGTAATAGCTGCTGTAGATTTTCCGGGTTGTATGGCCGCAGTCTTGGCATTGTAAGACCTGACGTTTCACCAGTAGCTGTGACTGGCATCCTCAGAGGTGTAACACAGAAAGATAGAGTACTCTCTGTGTCAAGGACCAAAAGAATATTACAAACACCAGCTCTTCAATTGAAATCAAATGAAATCCCTAGGGTTTTGTCTTAATGAAGTTGCAGTTGCGCCTCAATCTTTTCCTGTGCTGATCAGCTAGCCTCTGCATATGGATGCTCTGATTCAAATAATGTCTGAAAGGTCTGCCTCTTCTAAAACAGATAATATCTGATTCTCTGTAGACAGAACTGAGTTAAGTTCTTATTTGTTCCTGCTGGAGAAGTTTCCTAAGACCCTGGAAAGTTCACTTGTAAACCTAAAGTATTTCTGCCTTGCAACACAGAATTCTTTCCCGTTTGTAGTCCTAGGTCATTCTTAACTATGTTTTGAGATATTCTACTCTCTTATGTAGCTGCAAATCTCTTTATGTTTCTCTTCTGATTCTATTACCTGAGTTGAAGTGGTCCCCTTAAATTCAGCAGCCTTAAAAAAAGAAAAACAGCTCTGACTTAATCCATACAAACAGCCAGGTTTCAAGTCTTGCATTTAAGATAAAAAGGAGCTTCAAGCTCCAAAATATCCACATCCTGTATTACTTTTATTTAGGAGGTTCTGTTCCACTGTATCTGAGGAAGTGTGCTTGCACACAAAAGCTTATACCATGAGTAAAACTTTGTTGGTCTTAAAGGTGCCACTGGACTCAAACTTTGTTCTGCTCCTACCCCACCCGAATCTACTTTCATTTTTGATAGTCAAATCTCCACTATTTGGCTTCAATGGAGCCTTGGAAGACCCATGAGAACATAATGGAGCATTATCAGAATCTATATATCTAATAGCCAAGGGTCCCTCTGTGTGCGGATAACTAAATCCGCACATCAGGACCACATGAAGGGTAAATAGATTTTTCTGCACACTTGGGGCACTCTCCAGGAGTGCAGAAAAATCTGAAATGCTGAAAAAAATATATGGGGGATACTTAAATACCCCAAAAAGTAAAGGAGCGTTCCCTGAGCATGCGCAGAGAATGCATTTACCACTGGAAACTATGGTAGAGGCAGGGCTCACTGCCATTGCCGCTGTGTGTGGGGGAGAAGCCTTGGCAGGCCAGCTGGGAGCTGCATAGGCTCGCCGCTGTTGCTGCTGTTGGAGGGGGGAAGCTGCTGTTGGTAGGTTGGCTGGGAGCTGCACAGGGATCACCGCTGTTGGGGGGGAGCCTTGGTGAGCTGGGTGGCCCCACCTGCTGGGCTCACCTGCGGCCTCCTCCATGCAGAGCTTATTCTGCTGCTGCGGGCCAGGAGCCATGGGGAATACTCCCCCCACGAGTATTACGGGTCCTCCTTCTTGTATATCCTGATACAGAAAGACCAAACAGCCACATCTCACTCAATAGCCTATGACCCAGTACTTGGAACAGCAGGGATAGGCCAACTTTGGTCTTGTGTGGTCTACATTTTTTTAGGAATCCCTATGGCTTGCTGGGTTGTGTTTTAAATGTATAAAGAGAGAATGCAGAGGATAGCAAAGCATAATGGATATGCGTTCTGTAGATCTCACAATGAACTTAAGAACATGTGCCTAGCTTAGGGTTCCCAACTTCAGGTTGGGAAATATCTGGTGATTATGGTGTGGAGTATGGAGAGGGCGGGGTTTGTGAGGGGAAGGGACATCAGCAGGGATGTGAATGCCATAGAGTCCACCCTCCAAAGCAGCCATTTTTTTCCCCAAGGGAACTTATCTCTGTAGTCTGGAGATCACTTGAAATTCTGGGAGATCTCCAGGCCCCACCTGGAGGTTGGCAACCCTGGCCTAGACGGATCACTCCAAAATCCATGTTGTCCATCCAGCATTCTTGGTAAGAACTGCAACATCCCATCTCTGTGGTTCACCAGAACTTTAGCCTGTGGTCTCCGCAGTTCTGAGAGAAAGTGTTCTAGCAGTGCAATGCTGGCAAAGACAGGAATTTTCCACAGGGTGTTTTAAAGACTCAGTCGTCTATTGGTACAAGATCTGTTCTATATTGCTTATTATATAATGCTCAGCAGCTGCAATAACAGACGCAAATAAAAACAATGCTGATAATGACAATTGTACTTTATTTCAATAAATACATTTCAATTTATTTAATCCAATTTAATTCAATTAATTATGCTTGCTAGAAAAAGAACAGACACTCCAGAGCAGCTTTTCTTCACACTGGATTGTGTGTGTGTCTGTGTGCATGCACATGTAGTTATATTTCCATTATTCTACCCTTAATAGTTTTATGGACAAGCAGGGAAATGTGTGCCTAATAATGAAACTTAGCATTTATACAACACTTCTGAGTGTCAATGTGCTTCACATATATTCTTAATAATCCATACAACAACCCTGTAAGAGTTGTAAAGTCATGTCATCTTATTACCATGTTGTAGATGGTGGCTGGGACTCAGCAACATTGGTATCTTGTGCTTAGTAGAGTTAACACCTGTTTAAGCTCATTGCCTTAGAAGAATGTAACTCTGTTTAGGGTTACACTGTAAGTGCACCTATTAAGATGATAGTAGAATAAAAAAACATAACCAGTTTGCAACTTAACGGTGCAATACTATGCAGTACACTGTTTTAAGCCCACAGAGTTCAATGAGTTTAGAGTGGAGTAAACCCTACACAAGACTGTGTATCTCCTAGCTGCTACACTATACCAAGCAGACAACATAAATGCATCCCACTCACAGTGTATGTGTTTACTGGGGATTCCTGCTTATGACAGACAAAAAGGGCAATTAATTTGCTTGAATACTGTCATTTGGGCCATATTGACTCCACGCCTGGGCTGTAGCTAGGCGGGGGCCCTGGGGTTGGGCCCCCTCTCGAATCTGCAATGCCGCCCTAGAAGGATGCCAGCCTCACCCAGCCCCAGTGCACCATGCTACTTATCCCTGTGGGCAGTCGCTGTGGCCTTGCCGGCTCTTTCTGCTGTAGTTCAGATCAGCAGGAGGAGAGAGAGGGGGGCAGCCTCGCTGGGTCTTCCTGCTTCCACAGCTGGCTTCTCAAAGCCCCTCTCCCTCCTTTCCTGAAGAAGGAAGCAGCAGGAAGAACCAGCGAGGCTGTGTTACGACCAGAGGTCATTTCGGGGGGGATCGCAGTTCCCCCGGGTGAGGTATGGGGGCGGGGCACATGACGAAACCCCACCCCCTGCTTCCGGCCGCCCCGCTTCGGGCCCTCATTCAGCCAGGAGGAGGCAGGAGAAGAGGGAGGGTAAGTTGCTTCCTCCCTGCCTCTCCCTACCCCTGCCCGCCTGGGGCCAGGGAGGGCCTTCGCGGGGCTTCCTTGCACTCCCGACGGCCTGGCAGGGCCACCGCCGGGCCCCTCATGGGGCTTGGCAGTGGAGCTGCAAGGCCGGCGGCTGGGACCGTTGGAGGTGGGGTGTGTAGCCTTATGACACACTTCCGGAGATGTCAGGGGGTGTGGCATATGCTAATGAGTTATGCTAATGAGTTCCCCTAGCTCTTTTTCTACGAAAGGACCCCTGGTTACGACTGCCTGCCAGTGGGGTAAGGAGCTACTCCTCTCCCTCTGTGCGGTGCCAGGGTGGGCCATTCTGCCCTGCCAGCCTGCTGAGCCTCGTCAGTACTTCCAACTGCCTTAATTTAATCAACTGAGTTAATTTAATCAATCCATTAATTGCATTAGCACCCCCTGGCACTCCCCCCCTCTCAAAATTCCTAGCTATGGGCCTGCTCCATGCTCATCAATACTACCCCACAGCCTCAAGTTCAGTTTTCTCTGGGGGTAATGCTGTTCAGAAGCTTCAGTCAACATAGTGCCAGGGAAGGTCAAATCTTTCTCTTATTACGTTTATTTATTTATTTAGCAAATTTATATCCCGCCATTCCTGAAACGGGCTCAGGGCGGGTGACATCAAGGTGCGTGAACACTTAAAACCAAATTAATATAGTTAATTCTTAAAACAGCTAAAACCATTAAACAATTAA